TGTTGCTAAGCTAGCAATACAATCGAATTAAACTACAGATCACACAAAAATAATGGGTAATATAGTCAGTTTTTACATTTTATTTGATACATTTTTTGCAAGTTAGTAACCAAGTAGTCAATCTTTTATGATTTTTTTTAAAGAAGCCTCTTATGCTCATCAATGGTGCATTTATTAATTTATTTGATTTCTGCCATATGTACATTGACTGACATTCACCACTGATAAGCTACCACTAAATATTGTAGAAACTTAATTTGCTGTAAAGTTGCTTTGCAATGATTTGTATCGTGAAAAGCGCTGTACAAATAAACTTGAATTGAATTTGATCAAATACAGTAAAAACCGTAATACTGTGAAATATTATTACAATTTGAAATTACTGTTTTCAATTTTAATACAATTTGATGCATTTTTTAATACATAATATAGACCTCAAACCTTTGAAATGGTAGTGTATATCATTATCAACATATCCAGTGAATGGGAAAGATTAGATCATGGAGGAAAATTCCCATTCTTGTTAAAAGATTCATCTGAGGAGACATGTTCTACGGGAAAATTTGACACACGGAGCAATTCTGATTCTGTCGTCTTTTCTACTTCAGACCGGTATCTGTCTCTCCCTCATTTCCTGTGGTTGGGAAACGTGGGAGAAGAATGTTTGTTTTCATGACCTGAATATCAAGTGTATGAGTGTGTGTTTACATGAACGTGTGAGCATTCTCATCCATCATTTCAGACTCCTTATCCTCCATATTCCAGCGCACATCCCTCCACTTCCTGTTATTTGCCTCTCCTAATGCCGCCCTCCCTGGGTTTCTGTTTGATTTAGATTTTTAGCCAGTGCCATCCTCATGCATTTTGGCAGGCAGATACTCTAGGGCTCATCGGGACCAGGCATGGAGGTTATGGAGCTGAAGGGGAAGTTCTTTTGTGCCCAAAGTAAACTGACTCACCTCAGGGGCAGCTGCTGCCTGTGGTCTGAACCTGACCATAATGAGCACGGCTAGTCAGGAGGTCACTGTATTAAAAGGCCCATCTGACAGGACATGTTAGTGCTCAGAAGCCTCCTGGAACATCACCAGCTTTCATTTTATTAGTTTGCGCCAGGACACGGTGGTTTTTACAGACCTGGGTGGCCCGTGTGTTTGTGGGAAACATCACATCTCCATTGCTTTTGATGGTCAAAATTACAGAATTAAGAGTTGTATGGAGGCCCATGGGCATCACATGGTGTGTGTGTGTGTGTGTGTGTACTTCTGTCAGGTACACAGGCTTCTTTCTACAGCTGTGATGTCACTCTGGATAGAATCAGGTCAGTCAGTTCCTCCAAGGAACCGAATAGAACACAGCGAAACAGAGAGAAAGAAAAAGAGAGGCTTTGCCAGCGATTGAGAAACTGATAAAAGAAAAAGGAAATTCGCAGTATGCCCTTGATGAAAATAGAAAGTTGCACCCTTTCCGTCAGAAGAATAGAGGCGTGAGGTTATAAAGCAAGTGTGCTTAATTTTAAAGGGGTCATATGATGCGATTTCAAGTTTTGCTTTCTCTTTGGAGTGTTACAAGCTGTTTGTGAATAAATAAGATCCCTAAAGTTGCAAAGACTAAAGTCTCAAACCCAAAGAGATATTCTTTATACAAGTTAAGACTGGTCCACACACCCTCCTAAAATGCCTTGTTCAAACACGCCCCCACATGTCTACGTCACGATGTGGGAAGATTTGCATAACGCCGCCCAAATGTTCACGCAAAGAAAGAAGGCGTAACTTTATTGTTGCTGCCACCGCCATGTTGTGAAGCTGCTGTGTGTTTTGTTCCGAATGCGAAAATACTTTGTTTGGCCTTCCAAAAGAGGACACGACTAGAAATCAGTGGTTAAGTTGTATTTACAACACTGTTCCAGAACAGTTCAACCCAAATATTCAGATGTGTGCAGTACATTTTATGGAGGACCGTTACCTGATCCTGGGAGAGTAGACTTCAATGCCGGCTGTTCTGACTCACAGACTGTAGGTACGTTTTCATATTTAAAGGATTTGCCACTGATGATTCAAACGCAAGTTTTGAGCAGTGTAGAGTAGAGCTTGTTGTTTGTCATTTCTCCGATCCCAAATGCAGACATGAATTTATGTTTACGCGGCGCGATGCAACGCGTAAAAAAACAGTATAAGTCATTATAATCCATAATTATGTCCCCCACTGGATGCAACAAATGCCTTGTTTATAATGGGTTTTAATGTTTTTGTCTTGTCGCTCTGGGACACGGAATCACAGTATGGTAAGGGGCATAACATTTCTGTCACACGCTTGAGAAATTCGGCCAATCACAACGCACTGGATAGCTGGCCAATCAGAGCACACTTCGCTTTTCAGACCAATGAGCTTTGTAAAAATCGACGCGTTTCAGAAAGGCGGGGCATAGAGTAGAAACAATAATATACAGTAAGTGGAAAATAATGTGTTTTTTAACCTTAAACCGCATAAACACATTTCATTACACCAAATACACAAAATAATGTTCTTTTTAGCAACATCATATGACCCCTTTAAGGCTTCTGGTCTGTTATACTGGCCAAATTCGTGTTGCATGCATCTTTCACAGAGAAGGCAATCCCAGAATGCCTTGTGAACTCAGGCAAAGTGAGAATGGACTCCATGCATCACTTCCACATTTAGCCTCAATGGCTACCATAACTTATTAGTAACACATTGTGTTTTAATATAATATGCTTAAATGTTATGTTTACTACAGTTAATAATATATACAATATATTATATTATAATAAAAATAAAATATGATAAGTTGTGATTGACAGTTATTTTATTTGCTATAGGAGAACATAGGCTATTTCGGAAGCTCCCATTGTGCGAATTTTAGCGAAAATATGTGGCCTTGGCATGCATAGTCTGTTGTCAAATGTAAATATAATTAAAATCAATTAATTAATGAAAATGGTCAAGAAAGAAGTTACATTTTATTTGAAGAATTACTTTTACTCAAAACTTGTTTGTGCTTGGTATATTTATGCTTATGCTATCTCATTGTTAGCTTAGCAACATGCTAACACCAAACTCCACTTGTGCACTTCATGTTAGAAGTTCTGTTTTTTTATGTTGCTACCTACATAGGGCATTCTAAATCAATCTATTATGAGGTTCCGTTTCAGTTAGCATGCTACCGTAGAAGGTAACTGTCTAGGAAGACCGTAAACAGTGAGAAAGTTCACTAGATTTTGGAAAGGATCCAGTGAGTTTCTGTATATATACAGTGGGGCAAATAAGTATTTGATACACTGCTGATTTTTCAAGTTTTCCCACTTACAAAGAATGGAGAGATCTGTAATTTTCATCGTAGGCACACCTCAACTGTGAGAGACAGAATCAAAAAAAAAATCCAGAAAATCACATTGTATGATTTTTAAATAATTAATTTCCATTTTATTGCATGAAATAAGTATTTGATCACCTACCAACCAGCAAGAATTCTAGCTCTCACAGACCTGTTAGTTTGTCTTTAAGAAGCCCTCCTATCCTCCACTCATTACCTGTATTAATTGCACCTGTTTGAACTTGTTACCTGTATAAAAGACACCGGTCCACACACTCAATCAATCAGACTCCAACCTCTCCACTATGGGCAAGACCAAAGAGCTGTCTAAGGACACCAGGGACAAAATTGTAGACCTGCACAAGGCTGGGATGGGCTACAGGAAAATAGGCAAACAGCTTGGTGAGAAGGCAACAATTGTTGGCACAATTCATCGAGAAAATGAGAGGGAGGAAAAGAAAGAGAGGCATAGGGAGGATGTATTTGACGCACACTTCACCACTGACACTCTAGCACACGTGGCTAACGCTAACCCTAAGACATTCTCCAGTCTGCTGCCTCTATTTGTCAATACACAGGAGGCTTTGACCATCTTAAGTGCTGGTATGAGATGTTCACCCTCCCTCTCACTCCGTTACCACAGCTTTGACCTAACATGACTCACTCCCTCAAACAGCTGCACTTTACTGATGGCTAGAATTAATTATTTGTGGTGCTTTCTTGCTATCACATAATTTATATACTACAATTCAAAAGTTTAGGGTCAGTAGGGGGCAGAAATTAAAGATTTTATTCAGAAAGAACACATTAAATTGATCAAAGGTGACAGTAAAGACATTTAGAATGTTACAAAAATGTTAATTTCAAATACATGCTATTCTTTTGAAATTTTGAAAATGAAAGAATCCTGAAAAGAATGTATCACAGTTTCCACAAAACTATTAAGCAGCTCAACTGTTTTTAACATTGACAAAAATACTTCTTGAGCATCAGATCAGCATATTAGACTGATTTATGGAGGGTCATGTGACACTGAAGACTGGAGTAATGATGCTGAAAATTCAGCTTTGCCATCACAGGAATAAATTACAATTTAAAATATATTCAAATATAATTTTTTTATTATTATTATATTTACATTTCATTTCAATTTGTTTTACTATATTTTTGATTAAATAAACACAGCTTTCGTGAGCGAAAAAGACTGCTTTCAAACACATTAAAACATTTTACTAAATCTCTAAACCTGGTAAACACCCTAGCATTATGATGTCAAGTTTCATATGTTCAAGTACCACAGATCTAGAGATTGTTGTGAAGACTCGGGGTGTTTTTGTGAATAGGATGTATCTGTCCACCCATCTTCCACCATCAATACCACAACTGAGGTGAGACCCTTGAGCAAGTCACCGAACCCCCAACTACTCACAGGGCGCCACAGCAAAAATGGCTTCCCACTGTGCCGTGTGTGTGTGTGTGTGTGTGTGTGTGTGTGTGTGTGTGTGTGCACTACTCACTGCTGTGTATGTGCACTTGGATGGGATAAATGAAGAGCACAAAATCCGAGTATGAGATACCAGACTTGGCTACACGTCACGTCACTTTCATTAACAAAGCTTTGTCTAAAGCAGTCTAAATACTAACTGTGTGTGTTTTCTCCTCCAAACAGGCAGGAGGCGCTGTTGGCAGCCATCAGTGAGAAGGACGCCAACATCGCTCTTCTAGAGCTGTCGTCCTCAAAAAAGAAGACGACTCAAGATGAAGTGGCTCTGCTGAAGAGGGAGAAAGACCGGTTGGTACATCAGCTCAAACAGCAGGTGAGAACAACCAACAGGCTGGACGTCGACACCCCAGACCAAGGCACGAGGCAAAACCATAGACTAAAATGAACACAGACCTCAGCCCTCCTAGTTTCCTAGTGGAGTTTTGCAACCTCACCCATAGGAATTACATTGGTGAAGCTTAACCAGACATTCGTCAGCATAAAAAAATAGTCCCACCTCAAAGGAACAATTTAGACTTTACAGCTCAAGTAACAAACATTTTTATTTCACTGACGAATTGTGTTTTAACCCGAATAGGAGCCTCGCTTTTTTGCTTTTTAACTCCCTGACTCTTTCTCTCTTTCCCTCCAGGCTCTCATTGTGTTTTACTGTAAAAACAATGTTTTTTTACAGACTTAAGAGATGAGTCAAAATTATTGTGTTTCATAATTGAAAGCATGCCACAGATGCTGCCCACAGATGTTAAGTTGACAATAACCTGGAATATTCTCTTAAGAGGGGCGTGATTGCTCAGATATATAAGATCATACAGGATATCCTGATGGTGTGTTCATAGTATCAGTAACCAGTTGGCCTTGCTGTCGTGGTTCTGTTTAGCTGTTCAAGGAAAGGGCTTAAGAACAAGATCTGAAGGAGACATGTTGGGAACGACATCCCAAAGTTTGGAGATGCAAACAGGCTACAGATGTCTGGCCGCAGACCCGCCAAGAAGGGCAATTTTAGGATGATTTGACTCCTCCTCCAGGTTCCCACAAACCACCTGCAAATACATGCACACTAGTTTAAACACACACAGACTACACTGAAAAAAAAATGGTGTAGATACAGTTTTCACTCAGAAATTGCTAGCAAATTTCACAAATAATTACACTGTTAAAAGGTTTTGCATAGTTGTAAATAAAACAAAGATTATTGGAGTACGTTTTGCAAGAAAAAAATATTTCCGTCATTCTACTCCACTCAGTTTGTCATTTCTTTGTAATTATCTGTGAAATGTACTTGCAATCTATGAGTGAACGTTATTTTTATGCCAATTTTTTTTCAATGTACAAAGAAGTGACATTGAATTTTCTAATCTTTGTTTAATGCGGTATAGCTACCATTAATCCAGATTAGTCTCATAACCTGCACACGCATTTTGCATCCTCGTTTCCAATACAAACCAGCCACATGCATATATACAAAACCCAGCGGCCACAGAAAAACAAAAATAGCAGGAGGACCAACATGCACATACTCACTTTAGCTGTATTCATGCTCACGGGCTCGCGCCGCTGGAAAGCACCCCTCCCTGGCTGTTTCTCTGAATGACAGGCTATCAGCGCGTTGCATAGCTGCAGCATTCCACAGGAAATGGGTGTCAGTAGTGCAGATAGCTCTGGGGCTCGGCTCTCACCCGCAGCCCTGAGATCAGGAGGGCAGCCTGCGTCCCCCTCCTGCTCACTGTCAATCACAGCGGGGGGGATTTGGTTAAGAGTCGGTCAGAGGCCGGTTGCTCTCCTGACATACTAATGGTTGAGGTCAGCGATAAAGGTTGCACGCAGTGGTCCTAAATCAGGTCTTTTTGGGTAGCTTTACTTGAGGGTCAAAGTTAGGAGCTAACATTGGAAAGGTTAACGACCCTCAGTTTGCCTGTCCCTCGTGGACACGTTTTTCTGCTTTTAATTCATAGCATTACAAGCAGTCTTTTGGCATTATTTGTCATTTATAATCGTTAAGATTGCAACTTCTGTTCTGTGGAAAATGGATGGCCATAACAAGCCGCCCGAAGGTGTTTGACATGGCCCAGGGGAAGGGCGAGTGCTGTCTACTGTTGCGGCCTCTGGATTAGGGTTGGGATCAAGGTCGTAGGGTTTGAGTGACAGGGGATGAGTGTGACATAGTGGTACATAAATGGAGTATTTTTCTTTCAGTTTTTGAAGAGACAGATGTGCGTAAAGATGCAGGGCTGATAATGGCTCGGAGGAGGGAAAATTCCTGGTCATACTTGTCCAGTCTTGTCAAAAAAAATTAAAAAAAGGAATGGTGTCAAAAGTGTGGCCTTACACCATGTCATAACCAACTGCAGTGTGATAGTGTCAAGTGATGTGGCGAAACAAAATATATTGCTTCCATGCTACTTTTTGTCCTAACCAGCTTTGATTAGAGGTTTGAACAAATCTTTCTACCAATATTTGTTTTTCTAATTATTTTTTAATATAGGGTTCCCCAAAAAATGCATTTTGGTGGACTCTAAAGACTAGATTTAGTAAAAATTCTATAATACCAAGGAATTTTTGTAGAATTTATAATACATTTATATATATATATATATTTATACTAAAAAAGTAAAAGGATTTCAAAATAATTCTGCATGTAGGCATGTATCGTACAGTTCAGAATAAAAAATAGTTGGTATTGGTCATTTTGTAGTCTCTCTCTTTATTATAAATCTCAAACATTTTTCATATTATTAAATGTCAGTTATCTGTTTGTCTGTGTTCGTTCACGTGGATATACATGTGAGCATTTGAAAAGGCATTATAAAAAAAATAATAAATTTTTTACTTCGTATTGATTTAGTACTGCACTTCTGATACTTTTGATATCCTTGCTTGTAGACACAGGTTAAGGTTTAAGTCATCAATGTACTTTCATTGTAAGTCACCTCTTTGTGTGTGTGTGTACTGGTTTATATATCCTGGTGGGGACTTAAACCTGAATACACACAGACTCATGGGGACTAAATTGTGGTCCCCACGGGTACAAAAGCTTATAAATCATACAGAATTCAGTTTTTTTTATCTAAAAATGCAGAAAGTTTCCTGTGAGGGGTAGGTTTAGGGGTAGGGTTGGTGTAGGGCAATAGAATATAAGGTCTGTACAGTAGAAAAAACATTACACCTATGGAGAGTCCCCACAAGGATAGCTGACCAGACATGTGTGTGTGTGTGTGTGTGTGTGAGAGAGAGAGAGAGTTTGCGTCAACACTGCGCTCCTCCTTTTTTTAGATGAGGATAACGAGTGTGTGTAATGAAGTGTGGCTGAAATAACATGTTGCCTCTTTCAGATATAGAGAGAGAGGCATTTGTCAAGTGAATGTGTATTTTAGTCTCTATTCAGAGATTGAAGATGTGCCAAAGTGTCCGACTCACCCATTCCCTCCGTAGACCTCCGGAGTCCAATCTGTCCAGGCGTCTGAGTGTGTCTATGTTAGAAAATCTAGACGTATGGAGGGAAACGATATTTATCCTGACAATTTCTGTAAGCTTCGTTACTCTTTTGTGCTTTCCAAGGACTAGAGTTGCAGTTTTGGTCTCTCGTTCATTTGTAACCGATGTATCTCATGACTAACCCCGTCCGCTTCTTAAGGAGATGACCCGGGGTGATTCAGACCAATTACAGTTTGCTGGTCCTCTGGGACAGTGTTAAAAAGTCTTGTTGCAGTTCTGTAACTGCAGCTTGAGTGTTAGTGTTAGTTCCCACAAGTCCTGGAATGGCGCTGGTAATTCCATCCCCTCGCAAACTGCAGATTTGGGTCGATACGTCTTTCTCTCATTACCTGCTACAGTGCCTCCGCAAGGCCCCACCAGAGTCGCTGTCCTCGCATGGCTTCAGGGCAACAGCGGGCATCGGGATGGGCCGAGATGCCAATTCAGTAAATGGCTCCAGGCTTGCTTTTCTCAGCAGAGCCGTGGTTTTGGGCACCCCTCGGAGGAATAAAATGGTTTTGTCTTGCAGCTAACCACGAATAAACTTAAAATGCGAAAGCGGCAAATCCTTGCCAAGGCCACTGTGTGCATGTGTTTGAAAGTGTACCTTTATTGGGTTCAAAATGCTGATGTTTTGTTGCAAAGGCTGAGCTCTAGGCGCCTTACGTCGCCGCTGTGGCCAAAGTGATCACAGAGCTTAAATTAGAGCGTCTTGCAGCCAATGACAAGGGAGGGAAAGGGGAAAGAAATCCAGAAAAAAGCTCACAAACAACAACATCAACAAGCGTTCAATTCATTACCGGATCTTGTTTCTTTCTTGTTTCGGTCTTGCAGACCTTGGAGAGCTTGAGCCGAGGGGGCTGTGCGAACGGAGGTCGTGGCTCACGAGCCCATCCGTGCTGAATTTATCTTAGATCTGATGCAACTCTCACTGCTCGTTTAGGAAAAAAGAGTCGCTGTGTTTTTGGAACACGAGACCTCAAAACACAAGCCGCTAAATGGCTGTTTGAATAAGGCCTGTGGGTGTCCAGCTCGTCCAACGTGTGACGTTGTGTAGGAGAGGAAATGGAGATTTTCCACTGCATCTCCGATTGTGGAGAACATTTTACTATGTTGTTATTATTCGGTCAGACAAATTAATTTAAGGACGTTCTGTGCCCCTTTGGCAAGCCGTGAAGACTCTTGGCAGCTTTATTATTACAGGGTTTTGCCTTAACATCGCTAATTGTAGTTGGCACTATGTTGTTATTATTCGGTCAGACAAATTAATTTTTTAAGGACGTTCTGTGCCCCTTTGGCAAGCCGTGAAGACTCTTGGCAGCTTTATTATTACAGGGTTTTGCCTTAACATCGCTAATTGTAGTTGGAAAAACTTTGCTTTTCTATTGCACTGAAGGTGCTGTTTTAGTAATGATTTCTAATGAGGGTGGGAGACTGTCCTCTCTTTGCCTTTATTCCCTTTTCTGGCTCTTCTGTCCTGCCGGAATGACGACCTGGGATTCTTCGCCTCTTACCTCAGTTCCTAGCCAGTTACACATAATTGTTTTGTTAAAATCAAGATCATTTCTAAAGCTTTGCTCATTGTTTTTCTGGTGTGATTAGTGGTATTTGCTAAGCCAAGCATCACTATTACTATTGCTCACAGTTAGTGATTTAAACAAACCTCTAATCCTAAGTATCAAACTTTGGTGCGTAGCTCGTCCTGCATGTTTATTCAACAGGCACAAATGATACCTAAAAATGATGCAGCTTTTCTTAACTGTCAGATTTTGAAATTTAGTAGATTTTGACAAAAAAATCCCTAAGATTGCACAGCAACATGCTTAGTTCCTTTATTTAGGT